GGGCTGAAGCTAACCACCATTAAACCGTATTAGATGGTCAGTGCCACCCACCTGTAGATAATCACTGGCTCCTGGGGTGGTAATCAGTGTACAGGATATCAGTGTTTTACAGCCAGGCCCTTCTCTGTCAGCTGGTGCTGTTTCATTACCACCTGCATTGTGGTGTGAACAGAAAAAATGGCATCCCTGTGACTCAGACTGATTGCTCGTGGTAACAGTCTGAATTGCCGCAGATACATGAGAGTCATCTCGTCAAACCCTTGCTTTTTTCCCCCTTCTGTCCAACACAGATGCATTCTCAAAATCTAAAAAAACCAAATAGTCATTGCTTGTTATTGCTAAAGCAGGAAGTTAAAAAAAAATAGGGGGGAAAAAAGGAAAAGAAATATGGCTCCTGATAAGATACGGACACCAACTTCAGCAACTCAAAGACTTTGGACTGAGCAACAGTCCAGTTCTTTTTCTCCTCAGCCTGGGTAAGACATCTCTGGTTCAGGTGTGGCTTGATATTAGGAATGCATCAGTTGTAGCTCCTTTCAAGAGCTCTGTGTGTCTAGCTCTTCATGCACTGACACAATCCTCAGCCCACTCCTTGTAAAGCTTCCCCAAGTTCTTGAATCAACCTTGCACGCCAGTCCTCTTAAGGCTGCAGTCATCCCTGTTGATTGTGCACCTTTTTCCTTCTGCGCTTTTCGATTCCGGTCAACTTTCCATTAATATGCTTTGATACAGCATTCTGCGAACAGCCAGCCTTTTTAGCAGTGACCTTCTGCGGTGCTTTGTGGAGAGTGTTAACGACCTTCATCTGAACAACTGCAAAGTCTGCAGTCTTTCCTGTGATTGTGGTTGCATGTAGCGAATAAGACACTGTCTGAAAAGCAATATACTCAAAACACTAAATGAAATGTTCTAGTAATTTCAGATACAGGGTTTCTGATTGTCGTGAGTTATAAACCATAAAAAGCTACATTAAAACAAAAAGGCATGAATTATTTCACTGTGTGAATTTTACCTTTTTGAATTAAATCACAAAAAATTTTGACTTTTTCACAATATTCAATTTTTTATGGATTCATCTTATCCATTATGTCAAATAGAACTAAAGTTATATGTGCAAGTGTGAGCTGGGTTACGATGGTGTGAGTGTGAGAGTAAGTGTTTCTTTGTTGTCGCATCAACAACAGTTGTCATCAGTTTAATCATCATGGTTAAAATCTAAAACAGTCATCTTTGTCATTTTTACCAACATAACAATTACAATCTCCATTAAAAAAAAAATATTATGGAAAAAGCATTCATCCCATTACCGCCAACATCGTGGGTTTGTCATCTTAGCCATCTTTAGCAGCAGCAGCAGCATCGAGCCATGGTTTTATAAATCAGGAGGTACATAACAAAACACTTTAGGCAGTCAGGTCAGTCACTGATAAACAAAATGAGGTATATTACACTCCACTCATTGCCACCGATCCACAACAGGATAAATTTCATTTGCATTTGTAGCAGCACATTCTGTAAAACTCAGACATACAATAAATTATCCCAATAAATTACATTTACATATATCAAAAGACTCAAAAATACTTTTCACATTGCCTTTCATCTAAATATGTCGACATGTTTTAGGTTTAGGTTTCGTTTTAGTCATCATTTATGAGAAACATTTAATGTGGGCAAGTGAGAACTTCAGGAAATCAGAATTAGAGGATAACAAAAAGGAAGCAGATTTCGAGTAACGTTGATGAACAGAAGTGAATAAGGCAATTATTGATTCCAGTAATATAGTTCTAGATATCTATATGTCTGAAAAACTTAAAACTAACATATTATAGAATTTAAGGCATCAGCTGTCTTGGAGCGTCGTACAATGCATGATATAGTCAAGACAACTGTTTCTCCTTTGTAAAATTATGAATCCTTACACCCTACATAAATAGCCTTCACTTCTTTTGTTTTCTTTTCTGCTTTTAGAAAATTAATTACATCTGCTTATATTTAGCTCACTGGGCATCATCAGTAATTTTGGCACTGCATTTTCACTCCCTATCTCACTGTCAGATGTACTGTTTAATGCATTTTGTTTCCACATGACAAAAAAAATTAAAATGTACTGTAAACGAGTAAATATAACTGGTTTTCTATTGTCTTCTATAAAAGTCTTCTATAAAATCAAATACAGTATCTTTGGATGTTTTTGTTTCGATTTAATGGACCAAACCAACAAAATAATTCTAAATTGCTTAAAACTATTTTTTTTTATCTCTTTACCAAGAAAAAAAAAAGAAATAACTTAGGGTTAGTGGGACAGGTGGGTTAAAGTTAGGGTCCAGCTGGTAGCCTGGTGTTGTTAGAGACTTGTTTGTTGCACGTCTCCTTTAAATAAAGTTTATAAGGTCATAATTATTTCTACTTGGTGCCTTCCACCATCATTTGCCAAAGCTTTATGCAAATATAAGTGACACTGGATGATTTTCATCTGCCTTCTACTGCTTTCAGGTGATTATTTAAAAGAAAAACCTTTTTATCAGCAAAGACAACAATATGTTATATTTATAAATACAATTGAGTCATTCTATTAGTCCTTGCATTAGTATCAATATCTAATATCTGCGTTAGTAGCTTAGCTGCCCACTTATCTATTATCACTATTAGCTCTTACCTGTCACTGACTTCCTGGCAAAGTAGTTGGAAAACCTGCTGCTGCAGGTTATCTGAGAAAAAAAAAAGACTAATAGGAATCACGGACTAGGATCATTTAGTTTTGCGGTCCAAGTTATTAATCCTATTTTAGCTTAGCTAGGATTATCTTACCTTGTTTTGAGCATATTCAGTAATTCAGACTGATTTTAATAATATTATGTGGTAAAGGTGCTCTCAACTATTACCATTGCACATTTAGTTGGCCTTAGCTGTTCAGAGATATTTCTTTTTTTACTTCACCCATTCAAACTGATTATTTCTGCATCCAGAGGTGCTTTGCTCTACTATTTTCTCGTGTCCGTGGCTGTCATCTCTATTAAATCAGCTCATCTTTTTGCCAAAAGACATGTCCCGTGCATTTTCCTTCCTGTATGTGTGAAAAAGCATCGAGCAGTCTCTACGGGTCACTTGTGACTGTGAGTACAAACCCAGGCAAATACAGTTGATCATGCTTCACTTGACTTAACAACCTGAGGGCCACATGTCAGTCATGACAGCAAAGGCAGTCGGTTTGAAGGTTTTTTCTTTCTGCTAAAACTCTGCTTGGACAGAAAAGTAAGTCCTTAAAATGGGTGCTAAAGCATAAACGATGCCAGTACACATAAAACAAAACATATTTACGTCCAGTGGTGCTAATACAGCCAGATAATGTATTGAAAAATAAAAATACCCAAAGAATTTGCTTAATTCGGACTGGGCTATACCTGAGCCATCCTGTGCAGTGTGCACAGTCTGCTGTATGTTTTCATCTACAATACAATTTGGGAACTTGTTCTTCTACTTTGTCAAGTTTTGGTTAGACTAGTCTTCAGTGCTACATACAGAATTAATGTATAAATTACTGCAAACACTTTGCACAAACTAAAACAGACATACAGCCCACCCTCCCCCCTTTTTTGTAAGATAAAATGAATATTACAGTTATGTCAAAACAAACAGACACACTGCAAAATCTGTATATAATAAACTGTATCTCATATCTGACTGTAAGCTACCCTAAAATAATAAAGCTTTTAGGTGGCCATTCATCCTGGGTAAGCACATCTGTCTCTCCAGGTGGACATGGAATCTGCTGCTCTTTGTTGTCCTCACAGCAAGTTCACTGCACTGATTTGCTGTTCTGGGCACTCGGTATGAAAGCGCAGTGGTATTCCTGTACAGGGAGTTGACCTTGTCTGTTCTGTTTTCTTTCCTTTTTTTGTGGACCAAATTCAAGCAGACATGGACAGGAACTACCAAAATTTATTCCACTTCTTCATCGACGCTAAACTAGGTTCTTTTTTCCCTGACAGTTGTCGGGTTAACCTTCCCATCGGGGCAATGCCGGTCACTCCACGGTGGGTATGCTGTTCACCTGGCTCTCGTGCTGGCGTCCGGACGCGTTCAAGGAGCTGCGCTTCAGCAGCTTGTTGATGATGTCAGTGCATGTCTTCTTGTACTGGTGTCGGAGGAGGGAGTACACAAATGGGTCGCAAGCTGCCTTGCTGTAAGCTAAGCACTTGGAGACAATTCCCCAGTGAGGGTTGATAGGCACCGCTGGAAATAACTCCACGATCCTGCAGGGAAGCATAAACAGAGGGTGGTGAGAGAGAGCGTGGTAGAAAGGCAAGTCAACATGCTGGAAAAGACATGCATGCCTTAAGCTTATTGAGCAGAAACTGAAATACATTTGCAACACAGTGTTCTATTTTTCCCCCATAGTAAGCAGGGAGTTACTTACGAAAATGTTCTGCTTCTTTATAAATACAGGAATCCCATTAAACACATATTTGTATAAAGTTATTTTTCTCATCTACCCACAAGAAAAAAAGTAGGTAGCTGTCAAAGGACAGTACAAGATTTCCCCGCCTTTCTGTCGTGAATGTGGATTTACAGTGTGGGGCTATATTAGATTTCATTTCTAATTTGCAGTCAGCAATATTTAAAGCCAGAAAAGACAAAAGAAGAGTAAAACAGATAAGCAGTAATGAGTGTCTGTGAACAAAGTTTGATTGTAGCTGACAACCACATTAGACTGAAGACTGAGCAGAAAATGTCAGACAGTGAATTCTTCCAGTCTGGTAAAAAAAAAAACACCAACTCATTAGTGTATAATATGCTATAAATGTTTACTTTAAAGCAGCTCTTAATAAGCTTTACAGTCTTGTGAGGTCTGCATCTCAAAGCAGTTCATGGCACTCCCAACTTGTTTTTGCTTTTAGACACATTTGTGTGAAGTGTAAGTTATTAAACCATCATAAAGCTGTATAAAACCGCTGATTGTCTACATTTGCACTCTGTATGATTAGGCCATCCAAAATAGAGCTCTGTCAGCGTATTACCACAGGCCTTATATGGGCTACTAGCCATCCCTGTCATTTGTTCACGCACACTCCACAGAACGAGTGAATGTTGGTCACAGCGCCACACAAATGCAAAGGTGTTTTCTCACATGAGTTAACACAGAAGAAGCTAGAACTCCACAAAGCAGAGGATCAGGGGAAATTTAACATGAAATGAATACCCCAAACCGAACCTCTTGGAAACTGGTTGAAGATGCAGCTAGTAGGTTTCATCCCATTATGTAGAAGTAAAGACGTTAGGGAAATGGTGGGCAGTGGTCCAAAGCAATTTTAAGCAGAGTCCATTTTTCAAAATCTTTGTTTATCGTACACACACATACAGAGTTAGCACAAGAGCTTTCAGCACATATTATCTCATGATGCAACATTACATAGGCTACTGTAATTATATTTACAGTTAAATTGTTAGGAGGGCAAAAATGCTTTTCCAGGAGAAAGGAAATTCTCCAGAACTTATGGCTTAGGTGATATGACAAAGTAATTTGAGGTCATACCTACTTTTGCAGCTAAGCTTTGTTATCCACTGAAAACACAATAAATTGGGAGCACTTGTTGTCCACATAGAAGAACAGGTTACTGCCAAAGCCTACTGTATTTAACTCAGATCACGTCTACTTCTATTTTTTTCTACTGTGAGTTTTATTTACAGTAAGTTACTGGCATCCAGCTGCCATGTAGTTGCTGTAGATTTTACAGCAACCCCTTTACAGTGCAGCAGGTCTATGCATCAAGATTCTTTTGTCAAAGCTCTTAATCTAAAGCTGAAATTCTGCACTTCAATCACAACAATCTTGATTGTTTGATTTAAATTCTGTTGTGGTGGTGGGTTCTCATTGTCCAAATGCTTGTGGGTCTGACTGTATTAAAGTAAATGTCTCACATGACAGCAAGCCGATGACTTATGTGTCTCACTCACTACAGGCCTTATTTGGTATCCTGTCTTTGTTTAGTGATTGATGTGAGTGGATTCTACCTGACAAACTGATATGCACCCCGCGAACTCGAAGAGAAAAAGTGCTAATGCAGCAGCAGCAACAGCAGAGCAGAGGCATATTACTTATCACAAGGTCAGCCAATCTCATCTTCCAGCTCTGGCCAGTGTGAGGAGGAAGCGGAGGGGAGAGAGAAAGGAAGCAGGAGGGGAGGGATATGGGTATCTGTGACTGGAGTGCAAGGAGGTATCCAAGGGTTGCATACTCTGCATGGTGGTCCAGCATGGATTCCCTCTGGTCACCCAGTCTCTCTACTACTCACCTCGTGATCACATAGGGAGCGAAGCAGAGCATGAAGGTGCCGATAAAGGTGCTGATCTTCCTTGTTGCTCTCTGTCGTCGTCTCTTCTGCTCCTCCAGACAACGCTGACGGACACTACAAGCACAACCACATAAAGAGGGATGCCCGCAAAGTGGGTTAATATGAGACAACAGGGAGTGGGTGTCATGTAGGGGTAAAGCATGGGGAGATCCAGTATAGGGTGAGTTCAGGTAAATCAACTGGGTCAAATTAAAGGCTCAAAGTGGGGATCTCCCTTTTAAGAATTCCAGTTTAATCATTTTCTCTGTGCCTGTATGGCTTTGTGTGATACCTGAGTGCACCACAGCTGTGATGCCATGGTGAAACATTGCTTTGGAGATTTTTTTTTTTTTTTTATGAAATAGAGGTCATCTGTGTGAGTAATAACAGGATTTATAATCTGCAGTAGGCTATTCAACCACACACACACACTCAGAGATTGTATAGTATTTCCATGGGAGCTATTCTGCACAGAGACAGAATAAAGCAATCACCCCAGATGACATTTCAGTTATATTAGATTTTGAGCGAGGACTCAATTCATATGTGAGATTCGCTGTTTTAGATAGGAGAATAAAAGAGGCTAAACCCTTCCTTTTAACTCATTTTTAAATACTTTTCAAGCTTTACAAATATAAAGGTACCAGATTGCTATACCATATAACGTTATAGTTGCAGGATTGATAACTTAAAGTAGCTCACCTGGGGTGTATATCCACTAGAAGCACCAAAGTTTGCATTGTAATAACGTCGATCCTCTTACAGTGAAACCTTGCTACTTTAAGTACTTTGAGGTATGTGACACATAATACTATGAAAGATAGAAGAAAGGTGAAAGAGTGGAAAAAGATGGTGAAGACGACAAACTGTGTCCGATTGCTCGCTCTGGGGTTGGACAGGGTGCAGGATGCGTAAAGCCGGTGGTATCCAACCCAGGAGAGACAGGCGGCCACCGTGGAGAAGGACATGGAGTGCGCCCACGTGTACGCGAGCACAAAAGCCGCGTCTTTGTGGCGCATTTTGGAGTGGTACCTCAGGGGGAACACCACCGCGATCCACCTGTCGATGCTCAGAGCTGCCATGCTCAGCATCGAGTTCGTGGACAGAAAAGTCTCCAAGAAGCCCACGATCTGGCAGAAGCCATCTCCCCCCGGTTGAGCTTTACTGACAAGTCCTACCAAAGTGAGCGGCATGTTGGAGACGGTGAGCAACAAGTTGCAGAAGGTGAGGTTGAGGTTGAACAGACCGGGGACTTGCTTGCGGATCTCCGGGTTATACAAAAAGCAAATCAGCACCAGGACGTTGGACAGCAGCGACACTATAATAATCACAACCACCAGCACCGAGAGAATTACCTCCACAGTGTCCATCCTGTGGACACCCGAAACTCACTTCTCTCCAGTTTTTCTGCGCATATCCAGTCTTTATTTTGCAGCTGCAAAATTACACTAATCACCCGTAACCGTGTCCATGCATCCCCGGATCTCTTCACCGGTGGAGATTCCCTTTTCTTTCAACTACATTGTTTCTTCTTCGGCAAAGATATTCAGGAGGATTCCGACATGATAGAAAACCTATGTTTGTTAGTTTTTTAACGGACTAAACTTCCTTCTTTCTCCCCACTCTAATCTACAGAAAACAAGCTCTCTTGCCAAAGCTGCTCTCTTCTGGCACTGCGTCTTGCAGTGGGGTTTTGTGTCCTGTGATGCGCTCCCGAGGCATCACCCCTCCGCACACACTGCACAGTGTGTGGGCTACTTGATCTCTCTCCTCTCTCCTCTTCTGGGTAAAAGTAAGAGAAAAAAACAGCATTAGTTACAGCTAAAATGAGAAATTATTAAGCTCATTTAACGGAAAATGGCAGATATGGTCAAAATAAGCGTGCTTGTTTTGTTTGTTTGTTTTTTTCAAAATTAAAAAAATATTATTATTTTGGACTATTGTAAATGTTAAACTCGCAAAACGGCTTTTTTCCATTTTAAACTCTCCTTCAGGACTTTTGTAAAAAGGGAGTTGGAATTATCTTGACAATAAATACAAGATAGACAGCATAATCAAGGTGAAAGAAGAATATAAATACTACACTAAAGAGCATATAAGGTACACAATTAAGAGGCACGAATCTGACATTTCACCAAATCACCTAAAATCCTTAAACCTGTCAAACTCATTAATAAAACAGAGATTAACATGAGTTCTCGTGCCTGATTCTGATCTCATTCTTCCAAATCACGATTGCCAGCAGTACTGCTTCTTCATCTTTACTAATTAAGTCTGCATCATCACATTGATAAAGAGCAAAATCCTCTATTTCCCTGAAAGCTGGATAACACCCCCACACTCTGCTGCCCCTCTGGACTTCAGTGTGGGGAGAATTTTTCCTCTGAAGCGTGGGATTCAGCGGAGTGTGCTGTGGCACGTGAGCCACTGAAGGCGCTGGAGCAGTGTATGTGAGGTGGTGGTTGTGGTTTTCAGAAGGGGAGGGGGACGGGAGGGGGTAGTGTGTGGGTGGAAGGAGTTATTGTTACCGTGCACACACACATACGTGATATTTGAGTGTGAGGATGTAATAAATGCAGTCTACCATGTCCTCTTTCTTTGGCTAAACGTGAACAGAAACAGGAGGAAAAGAGGAGGATTTGTGTTGAAAGTGAGCCTCATTAAAGTCGTATACTATGAGGTAGTGGAGTATAGGGGTGGTGTTTGTTCTTGATGCAAAGAGAAGGTGGCTGCAGGGGTGGACAACCCTGGCAGCTGCTGCGTATGATTAGGCAGAAATGGAGCTCCATCTTGGACCCCATGAGGCTTTGGCTGTGATGGATGCATTATCAGCATGTTGTACATGTGATGGGACAATCAGCTTTTGCAGGAGCGGACACTTGCATACTGTCAAGCAACTGCTTCTGCGGCTTTTTTCTTGTCACTTAAAGGGACTTATCAGCACAGAGCCACCAGTTGATCTCAGGCACAAGTGCAGCTTTTTGTATGCATCATTTTAATTATTCTTTTCATAATTAAATGTCAGGTCCAGAGACAATAATGTCTCTAAGGAAAGTGCTCTAAAAATATGGCTTAGAAGGGACAGAAGGACATGGATGAATAATATCCACAGACAAGGGGATACTACTTATAGTTCCACCAGGAAAATTTTCTTTAAAATGCAGATTTTTTTAATTAGGATTTACTATTTAGAACATTCACATTACCCAGAATAAAAACACTGTACACAGCTCCTGTTGTGTCAATTAAATAATGCCTAGTTCCCACAAATCTTATCGACTGTGGTTTATTAAGAATTACACAAACTAACATTATGGAGGTCATTTACTGACTCATCAAACAATGCTAAAGAATGACACATAATTCAATATGTTGTCTCAAGTTTGTGTCTACCCACAACCAACATTATATTTGTGTAATGCAACAAATAGTACTGATCATTCAAAATGGTCCAGTCCCATGTGCAAAAACACCAAATCTACACATCTTTACACAAACATTGATGGGTCTTGATTTCTGGGCTTAATTGGACTTATTTCCTTTGGGATAAATTCTCATTTTTGTTGACTAATAGCCTAACTTGATTAATAATAAAATTTAGGTTTAGGGCTTCAAGATGTACACATTGACTGGTCACTTCATTGGGTACACCTTCTTCAACTCCTTGTTAATGCAAATATTTAATCAGCCAGTCACATGGCAGCAACTTAATGTATTCAGGCATGTAGATACGGTCAAGATGACCTGCTGTCCAAGTTCAAGTCAAGCATTAGAATGAGGAAGAAAGGTGTTTTAAGACTCTTTCAGTGTGGCATGGTTGTTAGTATTGGTGGAGTATTTGAGAAACTGTTCATCTACTGGGATCTTAATGCAAAACCATCTCATATAAAATGAACACATTGAACCTTGAACCAGATTGGCTAGAGCAACAGAAGAATATAGCATGTGCCAATCCTGTCAGCTAAGAACAGGCTACAACTCCCACTCACCAAAACTGAACAACAGATGATTTCAAAATCATGACCCGATGAGGTGTTTTGATTTATGCAGTGACATTTTATTCAGGTAAAGGCTGGTTGTGGTGTAATGGTGTGGGAGATATTTTCTTGGCACCTAATTGTTGAATCAAAGCCACAAACAACTGAAGCAGTTCTGAAGGCAAAAGTAGGCTCAAAACAGTTTTAGCACGGTATCCCTAATAAAGTGCTAACTGAGTGTATAAACGCTCTTTGTCAACATACCCCACTCATTCTTCGGGACATTGATAGGGACCATAAGTTCCAAAATAAAATACGTGCTTTACTAAGTAAAACTTGAAATTAGCAATTAAGGCTTCATCAGGAAACTTTTTACTGAAGGCATGGATCAGGCGTCAATAAGAGGCTTCTATCCAGCTGCATCTAGGAGAATTTACCCCCTGCTGAGTATTGCAAAGAGTGCAGATCTAAGACATTTCCAAACAGACTTCACTTTTAAGACCTGGAAGGTTTCTGATACAGTCTAAGATCATTTGAACAAAAACAACAATCAAGAATAAACACTATCATGATCTCTACAGATAATTAAACAATCAAATTCATCTATAACATTTGTTTCTACATACCTAAATGCACTAATTTGCTACTAATTTGAGCAAGTGAGCAGGTGTACCTAACAAATTGGCCAGCCAGTGTATTTCTCCCAGTAAGTGAGTCTTTGCTTGGTGGCACAAGACCTGGACCAAACCAACCAACTATATTATTTATTTCTATTACCGACTGGAACAAGAACAAATAGGATTCATCTTCAGGTCATTCATCTTTTTTTCTGTTAAATGAATTTCACGAACATTTTGTCAGGAGATGGAGAGAGTGTATATCCATCACTTTACAGAAAGGCACAAAAAGGAACACTTACACTTAATAGACAGTGATAAGGCACCTAGAGTCAGCTGAAATGTCAGGAGGAGGTTTGGGGACACACACTGCATTATATGAATAATTATTATTATTGAGAATATTGATATGTTCTTAATTTTTTTAATATTACAGCTTTTGTAATTACTAATCTATCACAGTGCCCCATAGTGTGTAACTTAGGGGTTTTATTACTTAAAATCTCTGTTTTGTAAGGGAATCCTTCGGGTTTACTGTGGCTGAGAAAAAATCTCAAGTCTGCAGATCTTCACTTTGAAGATAATACCTCTTGTCAAAAGATTTAACAAGTGCAGGACTTGACTGTGAGAGACAGTAGGTTGAGAGAGAGCCTGCGGCACTCCTCCTTTATGCTGTGACAGTGTGAATTTGAATTTGCTGCCAGTTCCAATTCCACCCTTGACTTCCCTCTGATTGGCAGGCTGGTATATATTTAAAACCCACAGTTGATATAGGCTGTGCTTTAGCTTCTAGGTTTTCCTGACTCATGTGAATATAAACATGTCAGTTATATTTCCAACCTTCCCAAGAAAAATGATGCAGGATTTCTGAGCCGAGAAGAAGTTGTGCTGCAAATATGACAACTGGAAAACTTGTAAAAGTAAGACTTGAGTTATGTAACTCAGAAGAGTACATGCAAGCTGTAGAACAGCAGCCTTATGGCTCATAAAGGTCTCACGGTGAAGACGGTAGGGATGCTCACTCATACAAGAAGCTTTATATAAACATCGTGAAGTGCCACTTTACAAGTAAGGAGAAAAGGAAGGTGTTTACACAGCTAGCTATAACGCTGAGAGAGGCCAGTTTCCTGTCACTTCTGACTTAGTCATCACCAATGCATACCACTCTGATATCTAATAAAGCTTGTACATATGTTAAAACACAAAGCAGTTACCTGAAGCAGCAGAGAATTACTGAGTGAAGCTGGTAGAGTTTCTGAAACCTATTACTGGCATTACTGCCTTGAAGCAGATATTACTGGTTCTCAAAGTGGAGTCCCAAAACCCCCAGAGATGTGCAACACATAGGCAAGAGCTCCACATAATAATTTGTTGCAAATGACTAAATTCTGGCGTATAAAAAAAGTAAAAAGTGCATTTACACAGGTAAAGGACATTTACACCAATAAAAGGTAAATTTGTTTTCATAACTTGGCCCCATTGTACTTCATGATGATGTATGGAGAGTCAGGTGAGTACCAAAGTCAGTGTGAGTCGTTGTCTAGTAACCATAAAGTGAGTACTGATTAGAAATAGAAATATACCAGTACGGCATTGATTATCCAATGTACTGGAAACACTCCTCAGAGACTTTGGTCCATATTGACATAGCATCACACAGTTGCTGCAGATTTGCTGCCCATCCATCCCAAAGGTGCTTTACTGGATTGAAATTAGTGAGTGTGGAAACTATTTAATGAGTCATGTTCAAGAAAATTTCTTGAAATGATCTGAGCTTTAAGACATTCTTTGTGTTATTATCGAGTTTTTCTAAGGAGCCAAACTGTGCTAGGAAAGTTTTCCCACAAGCCTGAACAACTGAGACTCGATGCTTTCATGTTGTTTGTGACAAATCAAACACTGTTTTTCCAAACTTCAGTTTCTTGCTCTTAGCTGATAAAAGTTGCACCTGGTGTGGTCTTCTGCTGTTGTAGTCCATCTGCTTCAAAGTTCAACATATTCAGCATTCAAAGATGCTCTTCTGCATAATGAGCTTCAAGAAGTCTGGCCTTTCTCCTCTGACCTTTGACACCAGTAAGACATTTTTGCCTGGAGAACTGCTGCTCAATGTATATTTTCTCTCTTTGAGACCATTCTCTGTATCACAATATGGCCCACAGTACAGTAAAAGTTCTAAATAGGCTCTTGATCTTATTTAAATGTATTGAGGTAGTTTTTCACTTATATACTGGACACTTTACATTTTTTAAAACATGAACCAATCAGCGGCTGCATTTCTACTTCATAATTACATAAATTTTGGACAATCTTTCAGTTCTTTTCCTGTCATCGGTTTCCTGAAAATGTTGTACGCCACTGAACTGCATTCAAAGACTTTTAAAAGATATCGAATTCTAATTTTATTATTGATGCACCAACATCCAGAAGTACTTGAAATGAATTCCAACTCGATCAGCTACATTAAATGCGGCTGATGCTTGTGGGCATTATGCATCGGTCACAATAATAGAATAATGTAATCACAGAAAATACTGAGTGCTGCACATGAATTTAAAAAAGCCTCCCTCATAAGAAGCTTTTGTTCATGTCCTCCATCTGTATGCCCTGCTGAGCTGCTCACCATACCGATCCTCCTGTAGTATCTGAGACTTGTCTTTCCACATATGGCAAGGCAGAGAAAACCCAGCACCCATTCTGATCTCACCACCAGAAATGTATAATCAGTGCACAGTTAATACAGACGCTAGTACAAGCTTGTTTTCATTATGGATCCTGGAAGGCGCTGGCTGTGTGTGTTCAAGGCTGGCCAACTCCTACAGACACAAGCACAAAGCAT